AAATATGATTTATTCCTTTCTTATTTGGATCCCTAATTTCCATTATACTTATAGGTCCTTGATTTGCTCAACAATTCACAAAGAAGGATTTGAAGATTTGATTCTCACCATAAACTTTCATTTTTTCAAAAAAAAAAAATGAAAATTATAATTAAATAAAAAAGTCGGTAATGACATTTACAAAACCATTTATAAGATGAATTTCAATTCAATCTAATATTATGTAGTTTGTATGATTACAAAATAATTTAGATATATCTTAAAAATATTAAAATATATTATTCGAAAACATTTTGATAATGACACCAATAACATTAGGGCTGACAAAATTGTACCACGGAAAACCAACCAACATGTTACCAACCGAACCAAGAAACTTGGTAGCCAACACATTTGGTAGCCAACATGTTTGGTTGGTAGTACCGTATCAACCAATTCATTTATTATATATATATATATATATATATATATATATATATATATGAAATCGTATATTTCAACTATTAATTGTTTTTGTGTTTATAGTTTTAATAACATTATATTAGTCATTTGATTGTATTAGTCAATAGTTATTACCACGTTAAAGCACAAAATTAAAACGTTAATCTAGCATTACTTTAGTATAATTCTTTTGTAAACTAAAAGAACTACGTAACTAATTTCCATACTAAACATCAAAATTCCAATGTCTTTGCTTTAGTAGAATTCTTTTGTAAGAAAAAAGAACTACGTAACTAATTTCTATACTAAACATCAAAATCCCGATGTCTTTACTTATTTTTAAATTTTACAATAGAAAATTAAAAGAAGTTGGTATATACCATTACCAATTTGTACCAACCAAACATGTTGGTAGCCAAATAAATTGGTACCAAGTATACTTGGTACGGTACCGGTAATTTTTTTTTATACCAATTATAGTTGGTACGGTATACGGTTTAGAGAAAAATGAATTGGTATTGTACCAATTCCACCCCTAAATAACATGCTTATCTAGCTTGTATTTGTTTTTTTATTTTACAAATATAATTTATTTAAATATATTTTTGAGAATAACAAAATAACCGAAGTTATTAACAAACTAAATTATTTCATTATAATTAATAAAACAATGATATTACTATATATGATTGTAGTTTTTTTTTTGTTTTTGAATATTAAAATTTGTATTTGACTGTACAACATGATGATTTTATCATTAGTCTGGAGTTAAAACACATTGTTGATATTTTGATATTTAAACCTTAATATTTAGCTTTTATTTTAATCAACCCGTGTATCACACGAGTTTCACACCTAGTTCTAAATAAACATTAAAACGAATTCATATTTTCGATAAAAACAACCGATAGTCACGTTTATTTTCTTTTTCATATTGTTTCCCGTTTTAGTAAATCATGCCTTCTTTGATTTTCAACTTTCCATTTCTAATCCAATACAGCCCTTCTTTAGTTCTTGATCTTTATGTTTGACAAATTTAACAATCCAAAAAGCCAAAATTCATGTCAAACAATGAAGTATTTAATGTTTTCGGGCCCACTGAGGTATTTTTTTTTGTTAAAAAGGTAAACATTAATTTAATCTATTCTAATAAATGAAGATTTTTTTGCCACATGTTACACTCACATTTAATTTGTCAAATATCATTTTGTGATTATTTTGAATTAATTTTTTTTTTCCACATGCTATTTTATGGGTTTTTCCTATTTTATTAAATTCCACATAATATTTTAAGAAAAAACATCATGAATGGTCCATGTGGTTTCCCCAGATCTAAAGTGTAGTCTCTGTGGTTTAAAAGCATCATAGATGGTGGCTGTGTTTTCAAAACTTTTAACGATTGGTCCTTATTGCTAACTCCGTTAAGTTTTGTCTGTTAACTGAATGACATTTTCGTCATTTCACTACCACAGGGACCATTTATGATGTTTTCACTTATTAAAAAAAACTAAATATAATTACTTAATATATAAAAGCTCTCTCTCTCTCTCTCTCTCCTCTCTCTCTCTCTCTCTCTCTCTCCCTCTTTCTCTCTCCTACTCGTTCACTCACTCACTCATACACACACATACACACACACACACACTCTCTGTCTGTCTCTCTCTCTTCAAAAAAATCCTACCTCATCTTTTTCTCTTAAACTCACCCCTTTCGATCTGGAATCTGGTGAAAAGTCTGTACCCTCCCTCCCATTTCTCTCTCGCCGAAAATACACCACCGGAAAACACCCTTCCTCTCTCACCCCACCCACCCGCTTGACCCTCAACATCACCCACCATACCTCACCCATCACCCAAACCATACCAGGTAGCATCGTCGATGAACATCAATTACACCATCACTCCTTCTTTGTGCGTCTCTATTTTCTCCTTCTTTCCTCCTTCAAATCGGGGAAGAGACCATTTTCAGATGGTGGATTCAGATTAGGAAAGAAACTTATGTAAAAACTTGATACAGAAGATACCATTTTCACTCCAGCAAAATCGCAACCCCTCTTTCTCTTGTAATAGATCGATTTCTTTTCATTCTTATTTCTTTATGATTGCAGATCACCTCTCTATGCATGTGTGTCTCACATATCACACAAACAGGGAAATTGAAATCCTTTTTCTTTTCTCTGCTCAACATTTCACAAAGCCATCCTATTTTTTATTTAATCGCCGATGAGAAATTAGGAAAAAGGGCAAAAAAGGGCTGCACTCTTTTTCTTTTTCTCATGCATGTCTCGTATCTGATTTTTTGTTCATCCAATCAAAATCCTATACAGATTTGATATAAATGGGTTTGTAACCGGGCTCGAAAGTCCAGATTGGGAAACCACACATGAAGTTGCTTCACACACATCTCATGTCGTTTCAACTCAAATGGTTTTACACACCCCTTTCGTAATTTTCGTTGTGAGTGTGTGTGTGTTTTTTAATTTTCCAATGTATGTATTGAACCCCAATCAAGTATGTGTGTGTATCGAATCTAGCAATTGAACCCCAATCAAGTGTGTATCGAATCAAGCAAGTCTGATTGAACATTGAAGAGTAGAGAAATGGGAATCCATGGTCTATACAGGTGGGAATCGATGGAGAGAGAGAGAGAGATAGAGATAGAGAGAGAGGGTGGGACACATTTGTATATTATTTCATTATTTCATTTTTTTAAATAAGAGAAAACATTATAAATGGTCACTGTGGTAGTGAAATGACGAAAATGCCCTTCAGTTAACGGACAAAATCTTAACGGATTAGCAATAAAGACCAATCGTTAAAAGTGCTTAAAGCACAGGGACCATCTATGATGTTTTTAAACCACGAAGACTAAACTTCAGATCTGGGGAAACCACAGGGACTATTTATGATGTTTTTTCATATTTTAATGTAATAATTACAATAAATATAGTAATAAATGGATATCAGTTTCATTAATGGACTTAGATTCAAATTTCAAAATTCTCAAATAAAGCTCATTAGTTTCTTTTGTTTATTTATTTAAATTATTTGTTTAAATTTAAAAGATAAAAAAAAACATTTCAATTTTAATAATTCTTTATTTTTCTTATTTTCTTAAAAATTCAAAATTCTCAAATATTTAGACCTTCATATTTAACTTTTTTTTAAGAAAAAATTAACTCATGTTATACATGAGTTTCACAACTAATTAGATAATAGTCGAAGACGTGGTGTAACATTGACTAAGGTATTGTTTGTTTTATTTAAGCAAAAAATTATGAAGTCTGCGGACCACCTCTGCAACCCCTGCAACATAAGAGGTGGACCAAACGGCTATAGACTGTAATAAAGAATGTGTTTGTTTTTTAACATCTACATGCTGCTATAGATATTTAAAAAAACTAAACTGATTAATTTTATATAACGAAAATAGTTTTTTATACTGAAAATACAATAATTTATGGAATTTCAGCCAAAAATAATGATATTTCAATAAAAAAATAATTATATTTCAGTAAGAAATTATTATTATTCAAGATAAAAAAAAAACAAAAAAAAATCTTTTAGCAAGAACAAACAAAAAAAAATCTAAAAAAAAGAAGGTGAAACAAGAATTCAACAACATATAATCAGAATTCATCAAAATTTCAGCAACAAAAAGAAGAAGAAGAGGTTGGAAGAGGCGTACAAGTGTTTCCCAAAGTAGAACACGAACATATGTTTTTTTACTCCGAAGGGTTCTAAAAAACATACAACTACGAAATGAAAAGTATTGCACATGTATTGCGCCGTGCAGTAATAAAAGGTCTAAAAAGATTTTTTACAAAAAACAAACAACACCTAAATTTTTCGGATGCTTATGGAAGATGAGCCATGAGTGATCATCCATGTACCCCACCATAAGATGAGCAATGAGCGGTCGTCACCGTGTGGGCGAACCCACCATTGGGTTATCCCATAGTTTGTTTATATAGTTTGTTGTTTCAAAATTTTTATTCCAATTCTCTGTAGATAATATTTTCCTTACATTGAAAAATAGGAAATAGTATTTTAATTATTTTAATTTATATTTGGTGAGAAGTAATGGGTTGACGTTGAAATTTTAGGTGATGGGGATGGTAGTGATGTTTGGTGGTAGCAGCCAACCGTCGACCGTTAGGAAGTTTTCTTATCATTTACTCAAAAATTATTATTAGGTTAATATCATATTTTATTTTGACAATAGCGCTATTATTTGTTCCGTACCAACTAGAAATAAATCCAGTTACATGGGTTTAACATTCTCCCAAAAATTAGCCATCAAAAAATAACAATTCGTGGTGCACGTCATCACTTAGTCAGAAAACGAGTTTTAGATGTTAAACATGTTCATCTTGATCATCCTCTTTTCAAAACCATGCATTGCATGTTTTTCTTCAATAAAACAACATACTAATAAAACATGGACCTTAACTAGTGTTTTAAAAGACTGTTAACATTGGTTGGGTTAGATTCTATGATTAAAAAAAAGTTTAAAACCTTTCTATCTCCCTTATGCGCTTTTGCTTTCACGTTTGTATCTCATGCTTTGAAGATTATGGACATGATCAGGAGAATTGCTAGGGTAATGATCCACCTCGATGATCGGAGCTCGATCTTTGTATCTATACTCTGATTTGAAGAAGTATCGGATTGCGATAAAGCTTCAATGTTAAAATTCGGGTTTGATCCATATAGTTGTTGAATTCCTTCAATATCGTCGACCTTCAAATCCATCTTTTTCTGTCTAGGTCTCAAACTAGGGTACATCACAGAGTCTTTCTCAAAACTGTGAGCTAATCCTAACACATGCCCGATTTCATGAGTTGCCACCGATTCCAAATCGACAGCCACTTTGGATTTCTCTGATTCAAAATCCATCGCCCATGTCTCTGCCGCATCAAGGTGGAGCTTTCCACTTTCAGGCGAGAACCCATGTGCTAAAACACCTAAAACTCCATCGAACGGCTCTCCATCGCCATGATCACCGCTGTAAAACCCTATCTTGATGTCGGAAAACTCATAAAAATCTGATTCGGTGAAGTTCACCGGAATCACTGCTGACCACCGGGAAAAAGATCGTCGGAAGGCATGCTTTATATCAGAAAGGTTCAAATTTGAAACCATGCAGTTAGGGGAAAAAGCGTAAGTCAGAGTTGTTGGAATGGCACGTGACCATCTTGGCTTGCCATTGAAGTAATTATAATGTTGGATTTCATGAAAAATTGGTGGTGGAGATGTGTCACGTACGCCACATCTCGGTAATGTCATCTGAGAGATTGTTTCAGAGTTGAGTTTTCCGGTAATGGCTAGGCCATGTTTCTGTTGGTATTGGATTACTGCAATCTGGAATTCGTCATCAAAGTTGTCCCCTGAGCTAAAGTTTGTATCCTTGAGGTATCCAAAACGTTGCATGTATTTCTTGAGCTCTGATATGCCGCTGAAGTTGCTGCCCTTTCTGGCATGAAGGAATTTCCCGAAGTTGCCCCAGGTGAAGTTTTGGCGGTTTAAGGTGGACGTTGTGGTGGTTACCGGAGGGGTTGGTCTGGCCTGGAAACATGTGGGATAGAAGAGTACCAGAAAAAAGAATGAGTAGAGCATGGTGGGCTTGGAGACATGAAAGTGAAGTTTGGCATATTTGTAGCAAAATGAAAGAATTTTCAATAACCATAAAATCCAAATATTGTATTCATGAATTTTCGTAATATATTAATATTAATATAAATGAAACTTCCTCCAATAATGAATGTCTAATATCTTTAAATCTTTAATCAGTGAACAACATTGATAGATTCAAAAATATATCTATAAGTTATATTACAGGATTAGCTTGTGTAACGTCTCAAAATTCCAAATCAAAAATTTCATTTTTAATATAGCGATTCATAAAACAATTTATAAGAAAACATCATCAGGTAATTTATTTCATAAAAACCATGGATCACGTGTCTCAAAACAATACCATCAAATAGTAACAATGTTAGAGTACAAATCCCAAGAATCTCATGTGCGGAAAATCATGTGTATGATGCGCTGCTACCGTGCCGACTCCTTTCCCTTCGAACAAGAAAGACCTAAAACAAAAACTGAAAACATTAAGCACAAAGTTTAGTGAGTTCCCCAATCATACCACATACCATACAATAACATGATGCCAAGTATATCTGGGTGTTGGCCTTCCCCTCGGTATCTTTCAACCGTAACTGCCTTCGGTATCTTTCAATCGGTAACTGCCTTCGGTATCTTTCAACCGGCAACTGAGGATTATTTCACCCCTACCACTACCACATAATAACATATCATATTAGCACATAAGGCATACAGATAGTGACATACCAGATAATTATCATAAAGACAATCATCAAACAACAACTCCTACTAGTGGGCCGACATTGTGGCCTTAGACCCACTTCTACTGGAAGGTAACTCACCTCAATGTCGTGAAGTAGTTGAACTGTCCTCGGCTCTGGGATTAGCTTTCCTCAAACTCCTACACATAATATCTCTTTTATTTACCCCTTCATACTCATAACCCCTTTAAGGGTCAACTCTGGTCAATGGTCAAGTCAAGGGTCAACACTCTGGACAAAGTCAACCTTTTGGTCCAAGTCAACATTCTGGTTGACTCAACTCGCCGAGTTGGTCCGTCAACTCGTCGAGTTCCATGATTAAGAGAATCTCGAACTCACGATCTAACTCGTCGAGTTACCCTCTAACTCACCGAGTTTCTCCTTATGACGAAATTGGGACTTTCAGTTTGAACTTGTTAAGTCCTTCCTTGGACTCGTCGAGTTATCCTTCATACAAGTCGGGACATTTTCTATCAACTCGTCGAGTTCATCATTGGACTCATCGAGTTCTTTGATCTTCAAGTCCATAAACACGTCCAGCTCGCTGAGTCATCTTTTAGACTCAACAAGTTTCCTCAGTAACAGAAAAGGTTAGGCAACCACGACCCAACTCGCCGAGTCCTAAGAACGACTCGTCGAGTCTCCCAAAGTCTAATTCCATACAGTTGATTTTAGTCGGGCTTAATGCATCCAAAACATAGATCTGGCCTTCTAGGGTCGATATAACACGTAAAGTTACAAACTTTACGTTCATGCTGTTGGGTTTTGAGCATTCTAACACTTCCTAAGTGTACATGCAACCCTATTAAACCTTGGATCTATGTTTGTCTAAGATACATGCAAAATATTATTTTCCAAGGTTTATAACCTATCTAGCATGGCATGGGGTACTTTTAACCATAAAAAGTACTAGATGAATTACATACCTTTGTTGATTGTTGATTCCTTGGAGTTTGAGAGCCAAGCACCAATAATGTGAATGCCTCAAATGGAAATCACAAATCACCACAAACTTGGAAAATGTATGAGAGAGTATTCTAACTCTTGATTTTGGCCACCACACTTACACACACATTAGTGTCTTTTTCATGCAACATAAGCTTGTTTATATAGTGTACATGGTTAGGGTGAAACCCTAATAACCCATGTCTTTTCCTCTTCCAAGGATCCATGGGTAAAAGCTCCATGGATCATCCATGGACTTCCATATAAGCTTAGCCCATTCCAAATGAGTGTTAGCCCACACCATATAAATATAATAGCCCATGATTTAATTAGTCTTCCTTTTAATCACTAAATTAATTCATAATTAATTCAAGATTAAAACTAATTAAGTAACATGACTTTATATTAATATATTATAACTTATAATATATTAATAAATCGTAAGTATACAACTCTCATAAAATTATCCATAACTAGTTTCGGGTGAAGTGCAACCCAAATGGACCATGCCGGGTCGGGTCAAGTATATACCAAATAAGTTATGGACTTAGACACCTTATCCAACAGACTCCCACTTGGATAAGTCTAATAACTGTATTTGCCTATATTACTTCAGGAACCAACCGCAATCGTAGCTCTCGAAAACTCTTGTGAACTATGAAGCGCCATTTTAGATAAGTGATCATATATCCTCTGCTCTCATGATATCAGCCGGACAAATACATGGAACAATGTCTTACTTATTGTCTAGCAGTTGTTTCTCGATTTCCGATTTGTTTGACAAAGAACTTAACTGAACACATCAATTTAGTTCTGACCGGGCCGGTACATGGGTCAACACAAAATCATCGAGGGGCCCAGATATCGCTTCTATTTCTAGAAGGAACAGATAAACTTCGACTCATATGCTTGTTCTACTACTTATTGAATTGCACACAAAGGCACGTTTTATAACATCAAGTTACTGATGCGTTTACGTGCAATCAATGCACAACCAACTCATAGGTAACAACTCATATCTCTAGGTTTGAAGACTTATATGATATTACCGTCTCACGATCACTCGAGATAAATTCCATGAAGTGATACAAGTGAGCGTGGGTTTATTCCAATACTCATAACTTATGAGTACTCATGAATGTTGTAGCAACCATTGCTATGGCTAAACACCTTTAGTCATCTACAATCCCAATTCATGACAGTCTTGATTCATACCTACTTCCGACATATGACCGACTGTGGAGAGTTTGAATAAATTAATTATTCTGGAAGTCAAAACATGCAAACTGAAACAATAGTAAATAATTGACAATGATAGCAACACCTTACTCATAAATAAATCACAACTTTTATTCATCATCAAACGTCGATTACATTTTACAAGTTTCAGAATAACTATCTAATCTATGTAAAACTAATATCGTCCCTCAGCCCGATGCGCTTCGCATGCTGCAAATGCTTCACCCTCGTCAGTCCCTTCGTAAGGGGATCCGCAGGGTTCTCATCTGACGATACCCTCTTTGCCACGAGGAGTCCCTCTTCTATCTTGTGTCTTATGAAGTGATATTTTCTGTCAATGTGTCGGGATCTGCCATGATCTCTTGGTTCCTTGGCTAAGGCAACCGCACTATTGCTGTCACAGAAAATCTCCATAGGCTCCTTAATAGCTGGTACAACTCCAAGGTCTCCGATGAAGTTCCTCAGCCATATCGCCTCCTTTGCCGCTTCACTCGCTGCTATGTACTCTGATTCACAAGTCGAATCAGCTACAGTCTCCTGTTTGGAACTCTTCCAAGTGATTGCCCCTCCATTTAAGGTAAAACCCAGCCCGACTGAGAGCGGAAGTTATCCCTATCAGTCTGAAAGCTAGCATCACTATACCCTACTACTCTCAAGTCATCACTCCCACCAAGGGTAAGGATCCAATCCTTAGTCCTCCGCAGGTACTTGAGAATATTCTTTACCGCAGTCCAATGAGCCTTGCCAGGGTTCCCCTGATATCTGCTGACCATGCTCAAAGCGAAGGCCACATCAGGACGGGTACAAGTCATAGCATACATGATCGAACCAACAACGGAAGCATAAGGTAATCGACTCATCTCAGCTATCTCATCTTCTGTACTCGGGCTCTGAGCCTTGCTCAGTTTGGCATTGCTTTGGATCGGTAATTCTCCTTTCTTGGAATTCTGCATGTTGAACCTTTTCAACACCTTATCCAAGTAGATACTCTAAGTCCAATTAGTCTTTTACTCCTTTCTCTTAATATCCTTATCCCTAGGATATAGGTAGCTTCTCCAAGGTCCTTCATAGCAAAGCACTTCCCAAGCCAGGACTTAACCTCCTGCAAGGTTGGGATGTCATTTCCTATGAGTAGTATGTCATCCACATACAGTACCAAAAACTAACAACTATACTCCCACTAGCTCTGACATACACGCAGGACTCATCTTCACTTCTTGAGAAACCAAACTCTTTGACCTTCTCATCGAAACAAAGATTCCAACTTCGAGATGCTTGTTTCAATCCATAAATGGATTTCTCAAGCTTGCACACTCTATTGGGGTACTCTGCACTGACAAAACCTTCTGGCTGATTCATGTAAACATCCTCAGCCAACTTTCCGTTAAGGAAAGCGGTTTTGACATCCATTTGCCATATTTCATAATCATGAAATGCAGCAATGGCTAGCATAACCCTAATAGACTTAATCTTTGCTACTGGTGAAAAGGTTTCATCATAATCAATACCCTGAGTCTGAGTAAACCCCTTCGCAACCAGTCGAGCCTTATAAGTGTGCACCTTCCCATCCATGTCGGTCTTCTTCTTGAAGATCCATTTGCACCCGACTGTCTTACGGCCTGGTACATTGTCAACCAAGTTCCAAACTTGATTGTCATACATGGACTGTATCTCGCTGTCCATAGCCTCCTTCCATTTAGCAGACTCTGGGCCTGCCATGGCTTCCTTAACACTGTTAGGTTCATCCAGATTTACCAGTGTACTGTCACTGATAAATGTATCACCTTCCGTAGTAATATGAAATCCATAATAAAACTCAGGTGTGTGTTCCTAACCCTTGTGGAACGCCTCGGAAGTATAGACTCGTCAGCTGGATCAACAGGAATTTCCTCCTCAAGTTGATTGCTAGTGTCTGAGGTTCCTTCACCAATTGAGTCTTGAATTTCTTCAAGGTCAATTTGCCTCCCACTGTCTCCTTGGCTTATAAATTCTCTCTCTCGAAGACTCCTCTCCTAGCCACAAAGACCACATTCTCACTGGGTCTGTAGAAGAGGTAACCAAAGGATT